CTCAGGTCTCAAGATAAGGGAGAAATCATGGCAGAAGAGTAGGGTGGAAGAACATGGCTTGGGGCATTGCACCAAGAAGGGGAGGGAGAGAGGGAGGGAGGGAATAAGGGAGGGAGAGAGGGAGGGAGAGAAGGAGGGAGGGAGGGGAGAGAGAGAGAGAGAGAGAGAGAGAGAGAGAGAGAGAGAGAGAGAGAGAGAGAGAGAGAGAGAGAGAGAGATGCACACACTCTACTCACTAGATACAAAATATATACCCCACACCTCTAATGATCTACCTTGTCCAGCCACACCCTACCTGCCTTCAGTTACTACCCAGTTAATCCTATCAGGGATTAATTCACTGATTGAGTTAAGACTCTCATAACCCAATCATTTCACCTCTAAGCCTGCTTGCATTGTCTCACACATGAATTTTTAGGGGACACTTAATATTCAAACCATAACAGACATATTGGGCACCTTGTGAGAAGCACTATTCTAAGCTCTTTACATAGATTGAAATTGTCAGCTGACCCAATGACTGGAGGTAAATAGTGCTATTTCTTTGTTTTACAGAGGAGGAAATTAAACACCAAGAGGCAAACTGTCCAGATTCAGTGTGACTGCATATGGGGTTAGTTTAGTTACTTATTTGAAGTGTGACTTATGGATGAAACCAAGTGAGTTTCTCTATCTAGGTTTACTTGTGAACCAAAGAAAATGCCCTTTTCACCTCACCCTAGACCACTTTAAAATCAAACTTTAGGCCACATTAAAAATAAACCTTCTCTAAATATTTGTTAATGTTTGTTGACTGCTTTCCTGGAGTTATGCACTGAGTAGAAGAATTTGATGCTTACCCCAAGCAGAGTCATTGGGTACATAAGGTAAAGATAACAGAAAGCCCTGAAAATCATACTGTTTGAACACAGTAGAAACTGTTCATTTGGGGTTACTCAAGAGATTTAAATAGTAATCATCATCATCATCATCAAAAACATCAAAATACAAGAAATGACTACATATGAAGGTAGCACTTCTGTTGGTAGTTATGTGATAGATGAAAAGGTGTATAATGCACTTTAATCCCATTTACCTTTGCTTATTACATATTACCTAGGATATTTTTGTCACCTAACAACTGAAACATAAAAGCACATCCAAAATCTTTCATTAGGGAGAACATTTTAATTAAGGTTCTCAAGAGAAACCATGGTTTTCCTCACGTGTCTACTAAGTGTAGTTTAAATGACGAAGAAATTACATAATTTCTTTGTGTAATGCAATGATTTAAACAAAGTCTAAATATGTGTAGTAAACCCCTCTAGGGAAAAAAAGAAAGGAAGGAAGGAAGGAAGAGTGACCTGATATTCCCACAGGTTTCTAAGAGAAATGTAATGAAAGAGCTCTAAGTAATTTTGAATAACTCAGTAGAATTTGGTGTGAAATTAGTAAGAGAAAGTGATTATTTCTTGCCATTATACTACTGTTCACTAGGAAACATGTTTGGGTGGGCCTTTTCAGAAGCTAAAGCTTGAAAGATAAAGGTCTTTAATAAAAAGACAGACAGAAAGAAATGCACTGATTTGTGGTTAGGGGATTTCTGGGGAAATGGTTGTTACATTTTATGCACAGGTTCTGCGTGTTCTGCTTGTATCCCACTCATTTAAGGCTTGTTATGGAGTTATGTGTGTTTCAGAGAAGCTGTGTTTATTATAGAAATTGGTTTATTATAGAAATTTCTTTGGGTTGGAAGAAAGAGAATGGAGCATGGTGAAAACTTGAATTAATTAATTTTATCATATGTTAAATTAGCATTTACTTATATTTTATCAGCATGGACTAAATCACGGGCTCCAAAACTATAATTTGTAGACTAGTGTTGTTTCATAATAAAATGTTTAATGGCAAAATGACAAAAATAAGACTCAGGATATTTATGACCTTTAAACTGGAAATTCCATTTCTAGGATTTTATTTTATTTTTATGTAGAAATGAAGTTAACGACAAAATGGTCAGCAAAGCATTGTTCATACATATGGAAAAAAATAAAAGCCATCTAATTTTTTACCAAGACTGCAATATGCCTATATATAATGCAATTTTATTCAGTCATGGCACAAAAATATATTTATTAATATGAAAATATATCCATCAAATAGTAAGTTAAGAAAGGAGATTTAAAAGCAGTTTTATATATATATATATATAAAATATATATATATTTTATATATATATATATATATTAAAAAAATATATATAAATATATATATAGGCTATTGAAGCATGAGTAATTTAAATATAATATTAGCAGTGGTTATCTCAGGATAGGAGAGGATTGTTTTTCTTTTTAGTTTTTCCTTTCCTGTACTTTATTTATTTTTACAATTAGAAATTAGAAATGCATTAATATACAATAGCATTTCTCAAAGGATAAATTGGTGCTTGTACATTCTGTATTCATGAGTTTGGGATATCTACTGAAGTTTGATATAAAAGAGTCAAGTCTTTGAATAGCTCTGTCCCTTTAATATAATAGCTACCTATGTTTGGAGGAAAGGAGAAGATCACATTTTACATATAGCTCTACACTGAATATGCAGGCAAATGAAGCATTGTAGTTATTAGTAATGTGCATTAATGCTTCAACTACTTAGAACATAATTTTGCACATGTTCTTTTTACAGTTGTGGAAAGTGAGCTATATATTTGTTCCCACTTTAGAAAACAAAGGTTAATGCTCATGCTTATGTATATTGTTTCTTCAAATTTCTTTAGCTTTAGTAAATTCTGGATTCTGAAATTCAGAACACCATACTTCACCATGCTTACCAAAATCATTTTGTTGTTATTTTTACAGTTCTGAGGATAGAACCTAGAACCTCACACATGATAGGCAAGCACTTTACCACTTAGCTGCCTCTACAGTCCATTATTCCCTCCCTTCCCCTCTTCTCTCTCTCTCTCTTTCCCCCCTCTACCCCTCCCCCTCTCTCCTCCCCCTCTCCCCCCCTCTTTCCTGCCCCTCTCCCCCCTCCCCTTGTTCCCCATCCCCCTCTCTCCCTCTCTCCCTCTCTCTCACCTTATCATCTTATTTTTTTTTTTTAAATAAGAAAGGAAAGAAGGAATGCTTTGACTCATGATTAAGGGATTTCTTGGGAAATGGGTATTCCTCCATTTTATATAAAAGAACTGTGTTTTCTACTTGGATCTCGTTCTAAATTCAAGGCTTATTACGGATTGGGGTGTGTTTCAAAGAAATTGAATGCATGTCTGTGGCCAGGAAATGATATGCTTTGAAGAACATTGGGTGTTCTCAGGAATATCTCCAAGCTAAAGGTGGCATAGGCTGTACTGCCATTTTAAACTTTCTCTTGAGATGCATCTGCAATGAGGAAGCTTCAGAGGAGAGAAAGTGATTTGTCCTGCCTTGAAATTCCCCTGGTATGGTGTCTAGCTTTCCTTGTATTCTCCTGGCAACAGACAGTGACTTGGATCTGTTGGATTAAGAGTCAGAGATTGATATCCAAGTTCCATGTATTTTTATGAATTTAACACTGAAAAAGATATATGGGAGCTTGTCAGCTCCTTTCTCCACCTCACAGTGTTTTGAAGGATGGCTTCCCCCTCTCATTTGGACATTTGTTTGAGAAAAGTAATCCAAATATCAAAATAAATGTATTTATAGAATTGTGATGACTATTAAAAATGATAACTATAATTTTCTTCCACTAATACTGTGTACATTTCGAGCTACTGTGTTTAATAAGCAAAGGATATATTTGAGGATTTTATCAGTCCACTTGGCATCTCAAACTTAATATGTTGACAACATAACTCTTGATCTTAACCACCAGTCTACCTCCAGTAGTCTCTCTCAAGTCAGCTACTGATGACAACATCCTTCTAGTTGCTCAGTCCAAAAACCTTGGTGTCATCCCTTAGACTTCTCCCTCTCACACTCTGCATCCAGTCCATCAGCAAATCCTGTGGACAAGCATGGAGATTTGAACCACTGCCCGTCCACTCCCCTGCTCCCACCCTGAAGTCTTTCTTACCTGAATGTTTGCAGGAGCCTTCTAACTGGCCTGCTCAATGTGTCCTACAAGCTTCTGTTCCATCCTCAACGCAGCAGCTAGCCTCATTCATTGAACCTATGTCAGTTCTTTAGCCTCTCACATAGCAAGGGCCAGAACCTCTTCATCTCTTTCAAGTTATGTTAGTCACCCCAATGACCAACTGGATCCAAATATGGTGGCCTGTTGTGACCTCCCTGACCCGTTCTCTTGGTCCTCTGCTCTGTTCCATCTATACTGGCCTCTGTAATTCCTGAGGATGCTCCCCAGTCCTTGGCACTTTCCATTCCCCCTGCCCTGACCACAGTTCCCCCACATGGCTCATGATCACTTAGACTTCACTTATTCTCTAGCTTTAGCAAGGCCTTGCCACTGTGCTTGAACATCCATTCCTCTACTCTGCTTTATTTTCCCCTGTATTTTCATTTTCTGTATTACATATTAGCTTTATGCCTTGTCTATCTCCTTTACTAGAATATATGTATTCTAAGGGATTGGGGATTTTTGTCAATTTCACTGAAGATTTTATCTCTGATGTCTAGAACAATGTTCAGCACATACAGGGACACAATGCAGGTTTGATGAATCTTTATTAAACCAAAAGTTGCTTCTTGATTATGTTCAGTGTCAAGTATTATATTGGGCATTAGAGTACTATATAAATGTTTTATTCATTTTTTACTGGTGCTTTATAATTACATGTATTAGAGTACCATTTAAATGTCAATTGTATGAAAACATAGTTAAAATATTTTAATTTGGGAAAAGGGATGTGACAATTTCTCTTTATAACTAAACTTTTAGATATAATGTCTTGATTTAAATAAATTTAAATAAAACAAATCCTATTTCAGATATAAAACCATTGCTTATAGAATGACTATGGTAGCTACTTTGTTATTTCAACTTCTCCCCCACATTGCTCACTCATTTTTGTTTTCCAGAAAAGAGGCACAGTTAGATGAAGAAGGACAGTTTCTTGTCAGAATAATATATGATGATTCCAAAACTTATGATTTGGTTGCTGCTGCAAGCAAAGTTCTCAGTAAGTTGAATGAAATTTTTTTTCTTTGGTTCAGATACACATAGAAGCCCAAAGGAACGTATGTTTCAGTATCACAACCCTGATGGGGAGCCCATTCATATATAATGATAAGGTCAGGCTATCCCCCTCTTCTTCCCTTTACAAGCTCTTTCTAGAATGGAAAAGAGAAAATGTGCTCCATGCGCTTCCCCATAGAAAGCTATGTATTGAGGAAGGAAAAAAACATCAATAATTAATGTAATAATTTTAATTATGATGTCAGCAATAGCATAATTAACAAGTGTATGCAGAAAATACTATTCCCAAATCTCTTTTTACAATCACAAATTATGCTAGCTACTGATAAAAGAAAAAGGAAACTGTGACTTATAGGCAAAGACCATTAATATCTATATGTTCTTCAAAGGCAAAGAGTTTCATGGAGAAAGTTATACTCGAGGTAATATCTGTTATTCCCACAGCATAACTTTAGCTGTAGTTTGCATAAAATAGAATAAAGTGTGTAGCTTTGATCAACAGTACATCAGGATTAGAAAAAAAATAGTAAGTGGTTTATAATAAGAAAACTATACAGCCTCATTAGTAATCAAAATTGAAACAAAATATGAAATAACTTGAAATTGAAACTTGGTAGTTATTAAAAAATGAAATATCTATGCAGTCAAGAGTAGCATTAAAGGAGAAAGAAATCACTTCACATTTTTGATCTGATGATAAATTAAGATGACTTTTTAAAATGTTCAATGTCTCTAGCAATCAGAGAAATGCAAATTAAAACTACACTGAGATTTCATCTCAATTCAGTCAGAATGGCAATAATCAGGAATAGAAGTAACAAGTGAGACCTTGTATCTAAGTAAAATACAAAATAGGGCTGGAGATGTGGCTTGGGGGTCAAGTGCCCCTGAGTTCAATCCCTGGTATTAAATAAAAGAAAAAGAATACAAGTAACAATAAATGTTGGTGAGAATATGAGCAAAAAGGTACACTCATACATTGCAAATGGGACTACAAATTAGTTCAACCCTTCTGGAAAGCAGTAAAAATTGGGAATGGAACACCATTTGACCCAGTTATCCTACTCCTCAGTATATACCCAAATAATTTAAAATAAGGATACAATAGTGATGCAGTCACATCAACGTTTACACACAATTCACAATTCATAATAGCTAAGCTATGGAATCAATTTAGGTGGCCATCAATAGAGGAATGGATAAAGAAAATATGGTTTATATAAACAATAGACTATTACTCAGCCATAAAGAAGAATGACTTTATTATGTTCACCAGTAAATGTCTGAATCTGGTGACTATCATGCTAAGTGAAATAAGTGAATCCCCCAAACCAAAGGGTGAATGCTAACACACAACAAGGGGTAGGGGAGAATAGAAGTTTATTGGATTAGACAAAGGGAAGGGATTAGACTGAAGGGAAGGGAGCAGGAACAGGAAAAGCAAAGACAGTAAAATGAATCTGACATGACTTTCCTCTGTACATATATGAATATACCACAGTGAGTCTCACCACTGTGCATACCCCAAGACTGGGATCCTAATTAGAATAAGATATCCTCCATGTTTATGTAAATATGTCAAAATAGATTCTACTGTCTGTTAATGTATTAATACATATTAAATAATATGTTAATATTGTCTTCTCAGAATGCATTGAATTGTCCTGGCCAGATGTTTTTCTTTTGAGCTGTGTTCACTCTGCACAAAAATTATAGCTATTTTAAATCATTTTAATATACCTTTAGCCTCCTTCTTCTCGTTAACAGTATTCTACCTGTAATATATATATATGTATGTATTTTGTACCTCTTTCAAACCGTAAAACAGATCTCAATGCTGGTGAAATCCTCCAAATGTTTGGGAAGATGTTTTTTGTCTTTTGTCAAGAATCTGGTTATGATACCATTTTGCGTGTCCTGGGATCTAATGTCAGAGAATTTCTACAGGTAAGCAATTTCATATTCTATCAGTAAAATTTATGAGTTTGTGTTTCTTAAACAGAGGTTCTAGAATGCTTTTGTTCAGCCATCTGTACAAGAGTCTCATGCTGCTAAAATGGAATTATAGCGGGCTTTCCCACATTTATTGGGTGGTCTTGAACATATTTTAGCACTTTTAATTCATATTTTTTTCTTAATTTCTTGTTGCTGATCATTTCTAGTATGCAAGTCATAAATTAATATTGTTTAAACTTCACAGGGCCTATTATGATCTATTCAACAGCTTCTTAGTTATTATACGTGCTAAAGTTTGTAGTTTGAAGTTTTTGACATATAATAGTGTTCTATTTTCATTTTGTAAGATAGTTCCAGTTAGTAGAGTCTAGTTAAACAGTATATCAGTATTTACAAAGTCCTACCTAGTACTTGTCATTTAGGAAAAAGGATCAGGTCCCTTAGGTATCTACCTCCCCCAAAATACTGAGCATACTTGCTGGAGAGTTACCTTTTAATAAGTCTATTAGTAAGAGGAAAGTTGGAAACCGTTCAAAGTCAGTGTCGAGTGAAAAAGATAAATAATGTCACCAAAGGCCTTTATCTTATAGTCTTGTTAAAATTTACAAGTTTTTTTTTTTTTACTGGTAAATTACCCCATTAGATGAAAGTCTATTTCTGGATGGACTGTGCTATTTTAAGCACAGGCCTTTGTGAGACCCTCATCTTGAAATGTGTTAACATAAAAAATTATGCAGTTGTTCACAAAGAATATTTCTAAGCTGGCTGCTGAGAGCAGCCAGACCTTGCTGGAAAATGATGTCAGTGCACACCCACTGAACTGAAGCCCAGCTTTGAGGGAATGTAAACTACTCTCAGCCCAGCTGCCTTATTGATTTAACAGCCAAAATAAGAACTTTAGTGTTTAATCAAAAATGTCTGTTGTTTACATAGGGACATTTTTCTTATAAACTTAAAACAGCATTAAATCAAGATGGAAACTGGTTTGCAATCTCCTGCTGTGGATTTACTAAACCACCAGTGTCAAAAAAAAAAAAAAAAAGTTACTGCTTCCAAACAAAGTAGTTGCAGGAAGATATTTAAATTAAAATTATAAAATTAAACAGATAGCATTTAAATGGGTCATTTTGAATGGATTAAAGCTTGGTACTTTCAAGTATTTGGGGGTTTAAAATTTTGAAATACATGTACCATTTTTAATATTTTTGTTGATAATTTTCACTTCATTAGTAAACTTGCAGATTTCAGTTGTTCTCTTAATATTAACATTGTCTCTCAATGATCATAGCAACACCACAAAGTTTTAATAATCCTGTTTTTAACCTCCATTCATTATGACCATCTGCCGATCTTCTTATGGCATTGTGAGAGAGCAAGCAGTTGTTTAGGTGTGTTTCTCTGTGTTCCAGAGCTGCATTGTCCTGTAGGACAGTCCCCAAGCCACATGCCGATGCTGAGCTTGGAAATGGGATTTGGGATAAGAGTAAAATATACAGCAGATTACAAAGACAGTATGAAAGAATATAAATTTACACACATATAAATATATATAATAAACATATATAGTATTTATATATCTTGTATATATATATGTACTGGGGTTTTATATATATATATATATATATATATATACTGGGGGTTGAACTCAGCGGTGCACCTCCACTGAACATTATCCTTATCCCTTTTTATTTTTTGCTTTAAGATAGGGTCTCCCTAAGTTGCTGAGGCTGGTCTCAAGCCTGTTATTCTCTTGCCTCACGATCCCAAGTTGAGATTCTCCTGTCTCAGCCTCCCATTTCTGGGATTACAAGCATGTACCACTACACCCAGTTTGTGAATAATTTTATATTAAAATGTAATAAAACAAAATTTTAGATTATGCCAAATTTTATTTTACCCCAATGATTAATGAGGAAGCTAGATATTTAGAACACTATAGAGTTTTCATTGATATTACCCACTTTTCATCCATTGTTTTTTCTAGTTCTGAAATGGTATATCTTCATGACAAATAGATTATGTTAGAGTTCTGATATTTTTAGAAGTAAATATTTTTATTATCATTAGGTTTATTACAGAGAAATTAAATGGAGCTTTTTCTGTATGTGACTATAAATTGAACAATTTTCATGAGGTGTTTTAAGAACCTAGCTCAGATATAAAAATTGGTATTTGCATTAGACACAGTGATAAAACATTCTTTAGTCTGTGAATATCAACCACACACTTCTGATATTTCCATTTGAAGTCCTCACAGAATAATAAAATAGTAACTAAAATCATAACACAAGAGAATATTTGACCATGTTTTAGCTGGGCAATACTCATGCATTCTACCAAAGAGTTAATTCTCTTTGGAGAGTCTAACCTCATCTAGAGATCAAGTGTCTTTCCTGCTTCTTAACAACTGCAATATCTTCTCCCCTCTATAACCCTAGCGATTCACCTGAGATACAAATCTATCTCATCCCATTTTCCTGCTTAAACCTTGAGTAATTTTTCATTGCTCATTGGAAAAGTCAAACATTTAAGATAATTGAAAGTACTTCCATCCTCTTTCTATTCCTCGTCTTCCTTTCTCTCAGTCTGGCCAAACTTAACCTGTTCTCGAATCCTTATTTTGTTCTCTCTGTCCTCTGAGCTTTGGCACATGCTTTTTCCTCTGCATGGAAGGTTACACTGGTTCCTCTTCATCTAGACAAATCTTCTTTATCCTGAGATCAGATTTCTTCTCCCCGGATGACTTTCCTCCTCTCTCCAATCTCTAAGCTATCCAAGTCAGGGTGATTGGCTTTCTCATGCTTGCATAGCACGCTCTATTTCCCAGCCACAGTTGTTCTCACGCTGCATTATTATTTCCTGTTTGTTGAACTGGAATGTAAACTTCAGGAGACCAAAGACCATGCATAATCTGTTAATGACTATATCTCCACAGATTCAATCTGTGTGTCTAAGGATGAAGGAATATCTTTTAGGGGGGAAAAAAAGGATATTCATTATTTGAGTATATAGTAAGGGAACACTATTAAGCAAACTCACTAATAGTTCAAAATGAATTATTTTATTAAGGACAATCAATTTGGAATGAGACTACATAGCTTTATCTAGAGATGAAGCATACATTGTGTCATAAAAGGAATGACACAAGGGAGATTACTGTTCAATATCAAATTTTCAAGGTGCATTATTTGTATCTGTTGGTGTTTTAAATATTCATTCTAATATTTCCATTTGAAATCTTCACAGAATAATAAAATAGTAACTGAAGTTATTACACATGAGAATATTTGACCATATTTTAGCTGGGCAATACGGACTCATGCATTCTACCAAAGAGTTAATCCTGAAGGATTTATAGTTTTCTCTTAATATGGCTATTATATTGTAATAATACCTCAGTTCCTTTATGCAAAGTTTATATTTAAAGACAAAAAGTAAAGGTAGTATTTGTGGTTAAGTTCCAGAAAAATTTTTTTTCACATGTATTTTATGATCTCCTTTGGTTTCTTGGTTGAAACAATGGAAACTAATATATATTTTATCTCTTTGAAAGACTTTGCTTCCAACACCAAATTCATGACCCTGTGTATACAGTCATTCTTGTGCATCTATATTCAATTTTTTAAATTGACTTATTTTACCATTTTCACTTTAAAAATATAGCTAAAACTATAAATGAATACAGTAATAAACTTGAGAAATATTTTAGAGGAAACTTTTGAGATACATTGCTCTAGATACATTAAATAGTTTAGAATTGATTTTACTTACCTTCTGTGAAGTCATTAATTTTGGACCATTGAGCAAAGTAATAATTTTTTTATTTTTGTTGACAGTAATTATAACATGATATATATATCCAGATGAGAAAGAAATAATAAGTTTTTTTTATTTTGATGTTTGAATTTTATATATTAATTTATATTAAATTTTAAATATTTAATTTTATATATTCTTTTAAAGGTAAGATCATATTCAACAGGAAATTTTGTCTATTTTCCCATTTTCTTATGCTTAAATAAGCAATGAATTATGTGGTCCCATGCTTTTGCTATATAAATTTCTATTTGAAGCTTCTAGTATGTTGATTAAAACACTACAGAGAATATATGGGATTTGAAGTCTCCATAAGAAAGTAGTCAATAAGAAATGTCCACTTTGATGGTATTTCCACTTTAAATCCATGATTTCAAATGTTTCATTGCATATTGGGAGACTATATTTTTCAAAAATCGCTGCAACATTTCTCACCACATCTGCACTTCTACAGTTATGGTTTTTGCTATCCCCTATCAAGAGGTGTGATTCCCTTTACCATCAATCTGAGTTGGCTTTACTATTGTTTGACCCATGGAATATGACCAAAGTGTCATTTTGAAACTTTCTAGTTTACAGGAGAAGAAATCTTGAGGTTGCCTCCTGGATATTTGGGAAGAGTTGCTCATGGGATGATCCCTGTAGGAACCCAGGCACATGAAATGAGAAGCACAAGCCACATAGACAGGCCATGACCTGGCTGAGCTGAAGCAAATAGCCAGCCATAACTACTAGCCATTTGAGTAATCTGTTTTGAAAAAGTAGCCAGCTACAGCACTCTGATAACCCCAGCCCCACTTTCCAACTGACTCCAAACCAGTGCAAGAACTTTTGTTCTCAGATGTCCCACAGAACCATACAAAACAATAATAAATTGTTGTTTTAGCCAGTAAGTTTTGCAGTGGTTTGATATAAAACAATATATAACTGAAACAGTATGTGTGTGTGTGTGTGTGTGTGTGCGCGAGAGAGAGAGCGCATTTGTACAATGAGCCAACTTCTTTGAATAAGCCATGTTTGCTAGGGTAATATATGACCTCTGAGAATGGGACTCCAAACAATCTTAAACAGGATGACCAATTCAATTTCAGTGGTGTTGCTCAAATCCATTGTAGATTCTTTACTTCCCCAAGAATTTTACAGAGTTAAGATGAAATTAAAATGAGCGTCAAAGGCTGCCAGGTTAATTATTGAAAATTAAACAGGCAAAATGCAATTTTAGAGGCCAGTCTGGATTTAAATTATGGTCCTGTTTAAATATGCGTAAGGGTCTCAACTGAACATTTAAACATTCTTTCATTGTTGGTTGGAGATACTGGGTCCTTAAATGGATCTTGGTTATAGTGACCATTTGACAGTTTCACTGATTCTCTCAGCTAACCAATATTCAAGTTCTTCATTCAGTGCCTCTGTTCAGCCTGCAAAAGGATTTTCTTCATATCCAGTTTGCTCCAGATTTTGGCTTAGAAAATACAACATTGTGATTTGGCCAGCCCACCAGCAACAATCTGGGATTGATGACTGATCTAATTCTTAAATGTTTGTGCTAAAGGCTATTTTGGGAAATATGAGGATTTTCCTGAACAGCTGTAAAATTCTAATACTTCCCTAAATTATTTATATTTCTTAGAAAAGAATGCATTATTCACTTTATTTTTAACTTTTAAATTTTAAAAGAAACTGTTTTCTTAGCATCCAAATTAGTATCCAAAATGTCAATTTTTACAGTCTGCAATTTTAAAATTGACACAAGAGGATTTAGTTTTCTTTTAAGAGGCTTGTGAAGGAAGAAAAAGAAATAATTTAGAACTAGAAGACATTGCTCTTTGAGTATCTTTTGTATACTTTCACAGACCATCAATTAACTGTCAAATGTCATCTTATATATGCAGGATCTTTTTAAAACATGGGTTTAAAAGCACAAGAGTAAGTGGAATATCTTACATATGTATAGATCTTTGACTATTTTCATTTTTATTTAATTAAAATATTTATGTCAAGGGTGGTAATGATAAATATTTTTAATGCAAACCTATTTCAATTTAAATAATTTTAATGATTGGAACAATTTCTTTCAAATAGGGATTTTGACTTTGTTAATTTTTCAGGTAGAAGCCTATTCCTTAAGGAAATATTTCTTTTAAAACTTGCTGGGAAAAAACTCAGAAAGTGTCATTAAAGCATTAACCTCTTACTTGCTTTCATCTTATTCTGTATCCTTTGCAATTTCCTTTATCCAGGATTGGGTTTGCCATTTTATTTAGGTCTTGTTTGTTGAAAATTTTCATCTTCAATTTCCAAAATGACTTCTTTCTTAGAAAACCTAAACAATGATTTTTAAGGTACAGGATTCTCATTTTTTATTAATTAAACAATTTATTTTAATAAATAGGTATATATGACAGCAGACATTTTGATTCATTGTACACAATTGCAGCACGACTTTTTATTTCTCTAGTTGTACATGATGTAGCATCGCACCGTATATGCAGTCATACATGTACTAGGGTAATGATGTCCATCTTATTCCCCCATCTTTCCTGCCCCCCTACCTGCTCCTCACCCCAGGATTCTCATTTTAAAAGGTTGGTGCTGGTTCTATTTTTCAGAAGTCTGAGGAATAAAAACAAAGGAAATGTGTTTCATCCTCCTTCAGAGAGAGACAGAATCAGAGAGATTTGTAATTATTGATTTTTAAGTTTCTTTCAGATCTCAACTTCACTAATCTCAATATAGACAATTACCTTTTCCTCATCTGCTAGATTAACATTCTTGAAGACTAAAAAAACCAATCTCTTTCTTTTTCAAAAATTTCAAGGCAAGGTCTTATTAAATTCATTTCTGTTGATCATTTAGGAATTCTGGATTATATGTAAAGGAAGCAAGAAAATGAAGTAGTGAATTTCTTCATACCATGTAATTATATCTGAGCTTATTTTGGCAAGCATATTAAAAAAAGAATTTTATACATATTTTGCAATATTCTGAGATCTTTAAAAACATTTAACTTTAATGCATTTATCAAAGAAATAATAAATTGTCTTTTGTTTCCTAAATCGGTGGAGCATACTAAATCTGGAACTCCAGTATAGTTTCCCAGGATACCAGAAACTAATTTTTCTTTTACAAATGATAAATGTCAGGTGACAGGGTGATATGAACTTCCGGGTAGAAGCATTCCTGAGTAGAAAAAAGTACATTCCCTTTGGATGTAGAATGAACAGCAAAATGATATCAAAACATTTTGAAATGAAATTGAATTCTCAGACTAACCTTTCATTATCTCAACATAAAATAGGTGCATGGACCTACTCTCTATCCTCTCCTCTCTTCTCTCTCTCACTCTCTTTCTCTCGTTTATTTCACAAAAGCAGGAAGAATCAATATGATCATACTTTTCATGTCCTGGAAACCTACCTGTACTGCAGTGTGTGTGTGTGTGTGTGTGTGTGTGTGTGTGTGTGTGTGTGTGTGTATTTCTCTTTGGGTTTCATTCATATATGTATATATAATTCATTCATATATATGTATGAGTGTGTGTGTGTGTGTGTGTGTGTGTGTATCTTTTGTATTAGACTACACAGCTCTTTTCTTCGTGTACTTGCTTTCATGGGTATATTTAGAAATGATACAGATTATCAGTTTTGAGATGAAATTGTTTTTCTTCAGAATACAATGAATATCAGCTTCATTTAGATAGAATATCAAATGTAGGAAAGGTTTTCTCTCAGCTATTCTAAGAAACTGTTTTTGTAGCTTTTTGAGGCTGCCACAATAATTGTGGTCCTAAAGATGAAGATGGTACATATATTAGCAATATAATAACATTCAAATAAAATAATTTAATTTATAATCATTAATCCTGTTTCTTCAAGTAGGCAGGCTGTGGAAATCACTTCAATTTTAAAAGTAAAACTAAGTAAGGAAAGCTGTAACTAAAGAAGTCCCAGGGGTATTTTTTATGTTAGATACTATCTAAAGAAAATCAATATTACAAAGTGGTGTTAAATCTTTTATGCTCCAGGAAAGCACTTTACTTGTCCATTTAATTAATAGTAAATTCAATAAAACAGCAAATCTCCAGAGAGTTTATTACCACAGAAAAGCTGGTTACTTAATATGTGAACATTTTCACTCAGTTTTTTTTTTTTTTCGGTATTCTATTTGCCTTAAGTGATAAATTGAAGTAGATTTGATTACCAATATTAATGTCTTAATATTATCAGTAACTCTATTTAGATTAAAATGGCTCAACTCATATACATGGTGTAGTACCTATCTTTAGTGACCCATCAAATACCAGGTGTGGGTGATTGTATCCAGTCTCTGACATGCCTGAGCATCAGGGTTACTGCTAACAGAAATGGTACCATTTCTTATATTGGCATTGACTTTGTGTAAAAATGTGCTAATAATACATATGACACAAGACGAAAATAGGTGGGTATGAAAGTGGTATGGGCCACTTATGAAATAAAGAAAAATTGAAAAAAATTAAATGCTCGCTTGAGTCTTTTTTTTTTCTTTCAAATAAACCATAGCTCTAAGCCTGACTATATTAGACAAATGCCCTTAATTCAGCCACAAACTCAGTTTTGACTTAGAAGGAATTTGTGGCACATGAAGCTAAAAGGAAAAACATATTTTGGAGATTTTTTTTTCTCCTCAGCACATTATCTTTCATGAGATTTTTCCCAGCATCAATATAAGTGAAAAGGATCTCAAGGGTCAGGAAGCACAGCCCTCAAGCTGTCCCTTCTCAGGCAGGGAAGAATCCCCATGAGAAGAACTTGTCATAGGAGGAACGCCTTGTACCATTCAACTGAATAAAATACAAATTTAAGATTCAAGGGTTTGTAAGTAATATCAGCTGTGGAACACTTGTTGTCTGCCACATTGGATTATCTTTACACAGCCACTGCAGCCTCTAGAAACGATTAGAATGAATTGATGCTTTTGTTAAGAACTAGCCTGACTTGATTTTAACAGATGTAATATTGAGGAAGAAAAGTGAAAGCACTGTATAGATGAGGCAATACAAAAAGACACCAGATTTACCTATTTGAGCATTAGAATGTCAGCCTTCATGACCATGTTGGCTGTGTGTGTATATTATGGTCAACACACACACACTCTTACACATGAATTGTGAATTGTTATTTTGAAAGTCACATTGGACCAAGTTAAAAGTATAGTTTGCATCACTTATTGTGATAATATTTATAGGAACCAGTTTTGTATATGACTAATATAAGACTCTAGGAAATTTAACATGTTCTAAATTAATGTAAGTCTACAAGAATAGAAAATATTTACTAGCCAATTTATCAGTTTTCCAAGACCTCAGTTCCAAAAGTTAATGATTTCACAAGCTCTTCGTGAATTTTTACCTTTATTGAAGACTGTTAATAAATGTGGAGAAATATGCTCCTTTAATTTCTGAAATGTGCTTTAAACTTCTAAAATATTACTCCATAAAATAATATACTTATATTTTCATAACCTTACCACTCTAAGATTGGTATTAAAATAAAAACTAAGTCTGAGGATCATAGTACAAACTGAAGGGTATTCCCTATTGTTTATTACAAGATGCATATACAACTACCTAAAACTCCTAAAAATATGCTTTAACTCTCAAACTCTATCTTTAATCTGGCTCAGACATTTTCTTTTTTTTTTTCTTAAGGATTAGTCAACATTTAATCCTCACCACAATCATCACAGCAGAGAGAAATTTTTGAAATGTGAAAACAGACAATGTGACAATGTCAGGCATTTTCTTTACATGCCACTTCTTTATCCATTCTTAAAGTGTGCTATTAGTGGCCATAGATATATTTTTTAATTGTACTATTTTAGTTTCAATTTCCTGTGGCACTTACCCTGGAGATGTCTCAGTGAAAAATGTGCCATCTGAATGTTTGCTCTGCCGAGCTGCCAAATAAACTCAGCTTTGAGCCCTTTTCTCATATCTTGCTCTTCTGAAGTTCACTGTCATTGTGGAAGTGCTTTTTATCCATCCCTCTTTCCTCTTCCCTGCAGAATCTTGATGCTCTGCATGACCACCTTGCTACCATCTACCCAGGTATGCGGGCACCTTCCTTCAGGTGCACTGATGCAGAAAAGGGCAAGGGACTCATTCTTCACTACTACTCAGAGAGAGAAGGACTTCAGGATATTGTCATTGGAATCATCAAAACAGTAGCTCAGCAAATACATGGAACCGAAATAGACATGAAGGTAATGTGCCTTGCTGGAGACTCTTCTTAACACAGATGACACTTGTAAATATATTAAAAATGATATTCTGAACTTACCTATTGTGACTGCAGCTAATGGACTTTACTAGAAATATGTGTCACCTAGAATTGTGAAAATACCAGCAATCTTCTATATTTGGCCTTGGAATGCATTATACTGGATTTTTTTTATTGCTTGTGCCAGCAGAGTTTCTTTCTGAATATACATTGCTGAAGGCAAGAAGAAATTTCTTTGCATTCCCTGTGAGCACACACCAGCTGGGAAGCAGGGGATTGTGTAACTAACCGAGTTGTGGATTTCAGCCTGCAAGATATCCATAGTATAAAATTAGATATTATTTTACAGATCTTTTTTTCTGGGTGATTCTTTATTGTTTGTGCCTTGAAATGTAGTTGCAATGTTTTATTCTTCTTTTCAACTAAAATTTTGGCATTTAAAAAAAAAAGTCTTTGGTCAAAGAAGCCAGATTTGGAACTTCAAAACTACTATTGATAATATACTTCACTAGTTTTGAGTGCTAATTTCAAGGCACTAATAGAGTAACTGTAACAAAGGGAATCATTGTTTTTCTGTCAGTATAGTCTCTCCCAGTGAGCTTCTTTTTATGTGTTCAGCATATTCAAGTTCAAGTGGCATTTTGTAGTGAGCCTACATTTGAACCACGTGGAGACAGAGATATCCTATTTTGACTGTCTTTAATGACCATCTAATGGGCAGTACTTTCTTAGCTATCGTAGTTATGTTGTAACACCATGGAAAGTCCCAAACTTTCAAAGTACAGTATTATACAAAATAAAACTGCAACATTTAAATTGATTATGTTAGAAAAGTGTCTCATGTATTTTATCTAGCCATGTCATGTTAAAATATATGATTTTCTTTTGGCAGTTGTCAGTTCTTACCTGTTGGTGATTTGCGGGTGCATCTTTAGTTTTATCCATTTAGAATGTGTACTATGTGTAATGTGACATTATCAAATCCAGAGACACTTAAAACTTAAAACCTTGCATAGAGTTTTGAAATACATCCATGAATGGAAATCTTACTGGAATTCAATTAAAATAGTATATGCATCTCATTTCCAATTTTCTTTTTTTTCAGATATGCAAATATGGCATTTCACTGCATTTATTTAGGTCTTCTTTACTTTCTCTCAGTAAGATTATGCAGTTTTCTTTCTCTGTACAGATCCTTCACATCTTTTATCAGATTTATTCTTAGATACTTCATATATTTGCTTTACTTTTTATTGGTACATTATAATTATATATAATACTGGGATTCATTAACCATATCCATATATGCACATAATTTGATTAATTTCATTCCCCAGTACCTTTCCTTTCCCTTTCCTCTTTTCTCTCCTGATCTACTTGCTCTACTGATCTCTCTTTTATTATTACTAATTTTATTATTATTATTGTAATTTATGCATTATAATTATATATATAAAAGCATGATTTACTGTGGTATACTCATGAAAATAGCATACTTTGGCAGATTTCATTCCCTCTTTCCTTCTTCTCCCTCCTTCCTGATGATCTTCTTCTACTTTGTTAGTCTGCTGTCTATTTTCTCTATTTTCATGAGATCCCCTTTTTTAAATCTTGATATCAAATGAATACAACTAGCCCAAGTGAGCCTGTATCTGGGGCTTAATGCAGATGTCTTTACTGTTGCTTCCTTTTTAGGACCCTACCTAGATTGTTGTGATTTTTTTACTTGCTAATTGACAAATAAAAAAGGACATTGCATACACTTTAAAATATACATCTCTCTGTATTAATTTTTCACTGTCTTTAAATATTATTTTTATCATATTAAGTAGTGTTTCCTTGTGTGTTTTCCTTATGGGTTTGTATGAGGAGTGTGTTTTCCCCTAATTCTACACCCAAGAGGCCATATGAGTCACAGGGTGGGGGAAACAGATACCATATTTGTAAATAATAATTATTCAAACATCAAATTTCATACATCAATGCTCAGAAATAGTTTCTGTTTTAAACATGTGTATATTTGCATATATTTTAATATTTTACAACTAACCTTCTAAATGTAATTCTCATAACCAGTTTCTTATATTTAGAGGTGCTATCTCAACTGAAATGCAGACAGTTAACATCATTTCCCCTCTTTGGCATCTAGGTTATTCAGCAGAGAAATGAAGAATGTGATCATACTCAATTCTTAATTGAGGAAAAAGAGTCAAAAGAAGAAGATTTTTATGAAGATCTTGACAGATTTGAAGAAAATGGTACCCAGGAATCACGCATCAGCCCGTATACCTTCTGCAAAGCTTTTCCTTTTCACATAATATTTGACCGGGACCTAGTGGTCACTCAATGTGGCAATGCCATATACAGAGTGCTCCCCCAGGTAAAATGATGGCTTACTGCCTTGGGGCCTGGTAGCTTTGATACATGTGGCCCTTCATTCATTTAACCCTTTGACTATATCAAGTAATGAAGCATATCACACATCCCATAAATTTTTATCAACAATATAGTTGAAATACTGCAACTTTCCTTAGGACATTTGTTTATTTGTTTCTGCTTTGATCACTTATGGGGCAACAGGAAATATCTGTGAGAATAATATACTAGTTTTAATAACAAAATGGGGAACTTGCTGTTAACAGCTTTCATTTATTTTTTCACTTATTGAGTAAATATTTATTGCATATCTACCTTCTACACAGCTTTGAAAATCAACCATTAACATATTCAGATAAAAGAAGGAAATTTTAAAAAAAGAACAAAGATTGTCATGGGGTTTAGAAGAAAAAGCATCAAAGGACATGGGCATTTAACCAGGCATTTAACATATCATACTAGACAATTTTCCTTATTTTTCCCTCTGAAAATGCTTATTTTATTTACATCAGCTTATATTTGGATATTAGTTGCCTGAATCCACACCAGGGTTTATGTTAATGCAACTATTTGTTGTCCACTTGACCACTGAGTTGCATACAGGGGGATTTGAGTCCATAGTGTGTGTGTGTGTGTGTGTGTGTGTGTGTGTGTGTGTGTGTATTTTCTTATAGAATAGTTCCAATTTTTTATTTTTAAAAATAATTGAGCTGGTTTAATGCAGTTATTAATGCAAAATCATAAAATTGGTTTCAATTACTGAAGTAACCTTTGCTCTTTATCTACATTCTAGCTCCAGCCTGGGAACTGCAGCCTTCTGTCTGTCTTCTCTCTGGTTCGTCCTCATATTGATATTAGTTTCCATGGGATCCTTTCACATATCAATACCGTTTTTGTATTGAGAAGCAAGGTAATAAGATCTTATTGCATCAAAGACATTGTTGAGTATCAGTCTGTTGTGTTACTAATTAGACATGATCAGAAGAGAAAATTATCTACTGTGACATTCTGTGAGATGGAGAAGATAAAAGCCAAACCTCAAAAACATGGTTATCTAAAAGGTGATGTCAGTGATTTAAAGTGTGACTGAGAAACATGTGCTCTATTATCTGATCAAAATTTATGGAACTGAGTTTTAGAAGTTTCACTGGGATAGTCCAGTGTCATATCATAGTAAAACCATCATCTTCTACTCCCTATGCAGTGTTGACAACTTATTTTAGAAATGAGAAGAACTGTTTTTGATTTTTTTTGAAGTTCACCCTAAGCCATTTATTCTTACTTGTTTATTTTTCTTGGTGCCATTTTGTGGGAAAATAAAAGTGATAAAATATCATGTGGTTGATAATTAAGATAGTGTCCAGATCTCACATTTTGTGTTTTGGGGATAATTATAGCAAAGGTAGTTTACCTAGGATACATTTCATCCTTCTTAAATCTCTCCCTAAGGCCATACCTGTACATATTTTATATATTTGGAACTGACTGCTTTCAGCTACTCTGTGAATACAGGATTGGCTTGGTTTATTCTTTAGTAGAACCTGGTAATACATGTTGTAGCCATACTGGAAAAATAAGGGAAAACAAGATTCATGAAAACTTTAAATATATGAGCAGTAGATATACCACTTTTGTGAGTTCAGAAGAGACCATCCATTCACTTTTCTGTAGTGTCTATCATAATGTCACCACTTATGCTTATCACCTGTTGAAATGCCCTCTCCTGCTCTGAGGCACTCACTCTTCATTATGCATGGGTGGAAATGAGGAATGTGTGTCCTTGTTGCTGAATTGCATGGTAGGGAAAAAGGCACTAGTTAATGGTTATGTCTTGCCTTTTTAAGGAAGGATTACTGGATGTAGAGAAATTAGAATGTGAGGATGAACTGACTGGGACTGAGATCAGCTGCTTACGTCTCAAGGGTCAAATGATCTACTTACCTGAAGCAGATAGCATACTTTTTCTGTGTTCACCAAGGTAATACTTTTTTGATTGATCGTTATGGATATAAGTACCATCTTTAGCTAACAGGAGTTCAATAACATTATAGTCCATCATGTGTACCTATGTTAAAGTGTAATGGGATTTTCCAACCTTTGTTATAACTTCTCTCTAACAAAAATGATCTCATTACACATTTGTTGCACTCAGATGAAATCACACAATCTATGTGTCATGTCTAAATCCGTTTGCAAAGTTCTATATGCCACTGTATCATGGGATATCTAATTTGTAGTTAGCTAATTATATATTTTTGTATATTCAAGAGATTTGATAAAAATAAAAGCATCCAATATGATGGCATAAGGCATGGGTACATTTGGCACCCAGAAATGAACCTTTCTATACTATGTGGGCAAAAATTGTAGAAGGATGCTAATGATTTTTGGATTTCAGTTATTTCATATTAAAATGATTTAACCATTTTATAGGATACACTACTCAACATATATTGTTAAATTGAAATTTATGTAGAATATGTTGTTTGTAATAAACATCAAAAGGGAACAAATATATGCATTGGTATTTTTACAGTTTGAGAAATATTTTACTAAAAGATGCATGGAAATTCAGAATATAAAAAATATATCTAAATTTGCTTTAGAACAACAGGAAAAGATAACTGTTGGGGGGTTGCTATTAGGTGATATTTTGTATATTTCTAACTTTGTAAAACTAAAATACATGTGTATTCTCTACTAACACATTTTTTGGTGGATTATTGGTTAAATTTTTAATTTAACTTCACCATGATCTCTTTCTGTTAAAAGATACTACATTATAATTTCTGAAAAATCTAACAAATTTAGTAACAACCTCTCTTAATATTATAACTGTAGTATTAACACATAAGAACCATATATTATTAAATAATTAAGTGTATTAAATATTAATTACATATTATTCAATCAAATGTTAATATATATGACAATATAAGAATAATGAAGATATTTTCTGGAAATTACATGTTATGAAAATAAAAGAGACAAAATTATGGGATGTAAATAAACTAAATTGATCTAATAGTATCTCACCTGCTATCAATACGTACTAGTTTGTTGTTGTTGTTGTTTTAATATTTTTATTAGTTGTTGATGGACCTTTATTTATTTTTTCTTTTTTTATTGGTTGTTCAAAACATTCCAAAGCTCTTGACATATCATATTTCAAACATTAGATTCAAGTGGGTTATGAACTCCCATTTTTACCCCAAATACAGATTGCAGAATCACATCAGTTACACATCCACATTTTTCCTCCTTTGCCTCTTTCTATGTTGAGCTTCAGTAGAACAACAGCTCACGAATAGATACAATTTCTATTCATGGAAAGAAAGGTATCTTTAAAAGCAGAAGCAGAAATTTTGGAGTGTACTGTGGTTTTTTTGTTTATTTTTGTTTTGTGCTGGAGATTGGACCTGGGAGTGCTTAAATGCTGAACCACATCTCCAGACCTTTTTTATACTTTGTTTAGAGACAAAATATAAAAAGGACCTTAGGACCTTCACTAAGTTGCTGGGGCTGGCTTTGATCTCACAATCCTGCTGACATAGCCTCCCAAGGGGCTGGGATTTACAGGCTTGCACCAAATTTACAGCCAGCTTGAAGTATATTTGTTCACTACCATATCTAGAAATTTGTCCTATAGTGAGACATTCTTTGACCTGCTCACGTGTACAGAAAGATTGTTCTCACATTATATAAACCAAGAGATCAAGCAAAAGCAGTCTTATTTGTACGATAAATAATTTCTGAATGATTGGTTTAAATTGAGGAACAATGTTTTGCTAGCTCATTAAAGTAATTTTTTTAAGAGAGAGAGAGAGAGAGAGAGAGAGAGAGAGAGAGA